CTGGGGGGCATTTGATGGGACATTTTCAGACACTCCCAGATGATGACACATGTACTCGATGTCAATAGAGACTCTCCCGCTCTGATCTCGACACGTCTTCGTCGGTTTCCAACCCCCTGCCCCGAGGATGCTATTCACAGGGATCAAGGATCCCCAAGCCACCATAGACCGACACGTATTCCTCGGCAGTTTGGGTATATCGATCCTAAATCATTCTAGGTCCTCGGCACCGAGGTGTATTTATTCGTGTGGGCGTTTCTGCTCCTACAGGAGTTATTGATGGACAGATCACTAGCCTAGGTTAGGCTAGACTAGGCATCATGACCTCGTCTTACTCAAATGGTGTCAGGAGGCACAAGAAAGCAGAAGGCTCAACCAAAGGGGAATGGACACGTGGCGTATTGTGTCAGATCAGAGACAAAAAGACTAGAATGCCCTTGCTGACACACGACTTGGGAAGTAAGTATTTAATGCACCATTCCCTTGATGAGACAACATTTAATGCATGAGAGCTTGGAAGTGAAAGGTAATAAATGTCCCAAAGCTTGGGCATTTAATACACCCCCGCCGAGGGAAGATCATTTAACGTTCGGCAGACCGAGGAAAGAGCATTAGTTGCTCGGGGTCCCGAGCAGTTAAGAATAAGAACATTACTCATAGAAATTGGTGTGCACACTGCCCACCTCCAATGATTACCTACTAGCTATGCTGTCAGCAATGATGAGTTTTTAAGTTATAAATAATTCTCACAAACACAAAAAAAATGTACGCAACAAACCCTCTCTCAACCATCATACAGTGTTTTCTTCTCCCCCTCTCTCAAAGAATTGACTTGATCGTCGGAGGGGATATGCCGAAAAACACTTTGGCGCCCTTCTAACCTGTTTTTCTCTGTTCCAGGAGCCTCCCAAGATCATTCAGGTGACTCATAAAAATGATTCATTATACCTCCTTAGGCCACCTTCGGCCCTCACAACCGATCCCAAGTAGTGAGATTGGCCACTCGATCAACGGACACGTGTTCATCACGGAAGATATCTGTTCTTGTGTTTATATTGTGCAGGATCGTGCACGCACATTCTCCTCCAACAGGACCAAGGTTTCCCTTAGCAGCACCATCTACATTGAGCTTTAAAACTCCAGCATCAGGGAACACCTAACACACCCATATAGCTTTGGTCAACACCACATATGGCATGACAATGCCTAAAATATTCAAAACCATTTTGCCATTTTCATTATCCATTACCCTGGGTTTCACCAGTCTAACCTGAAACCTTAGAAGGCTATAGATTTTCAGAAAAACTGAGTAAGAATTCATCTGCCCTTCCCCGGCTCTCCTTCTACATCTCTCCTTCCATATTTGCCAAAAAATCAATAAAGAAAGACTCCTCATTAAACTACACCACATAGTCTTTCTCTTAAAAATTCTACACAACCTCTGCATTCTAACCAATGGTAACTCCTCATTGATAAATTGAAAACCCCCCATACCAGCAAACCTTCCCCTCAATAGCCTTTGCATACTTGCATTCAACGAAAAGGTGAACTGTATTCTCCCTCTCCTCACAACACATTTCACACCTGTTAGCCAAAGGGATTCCTCACAGCTTAATTCTGAAATCCAAAGGTATATCCTTCATTAACAACTTACATCCCACCAGTTGAGCACTAGAAGCTGTAGCCATGCTCCAAATAGCCTTAGCAATCTCATTCTGAACAGTTGGAACCCTTATCAGATTCCAAGCATCCTTCAACATAAATTCCCCAGAAGTTCAATGCTTACATACAAGCCTGTCAGCCTAATCAGACAAAGATAAATGACATCCCAAGATTTCTGACGGTTTAGATAATAAACTATCCACCTGCTCCAGTTGCCACTAAGAACCATTCAAAACCTCACATACTTTAAGAAAATACTGAGGCATTTCATCCAATTTACAAATCAGAGGACCCCCCATCTAACCACTGATCACACCAGAAAATACCATTTTCTCAAAAAAAGGCACTAAGGCCTTAAAGCATTTAGACTTACCTTCATTCATACATCTAAGCATATGTTTTCCCTTTAGAAATTTAGTAGAAAAAACATGAGACCACAATGAGGTACCCTCTAATAATCCCCATGTCTGCTTCATTTTAAAAGGAGCTTGCAAATCCTCAAACTTCCTCACTCCCAAACCTCCCTCATATTTAGGCAATGTAACCTTACTCCAATCTACCTAGTGTTGTTTCCTAACATCTAGTCCATTAGACCAAACAAAGCCTGCCTTTATAGAGTTTAGCTTGTAAATAATACTCTTAGGCAGATTCAAACATGCTAGCAAATGAATGGGCACATCACTCAGAACAGTCTGCACCATAAAAAACCTACCCATATTTGACAACATTTTGGCATACCATCCCTCAAAGCCTGCTTCTAATTTTACTCACCACACTCTTAAAATCTCTAATCCTAGTTCTCCCCTAAATTATTGGACAACCAAGGTAAATGAAAGGACATTGCTTAAGTGGAATTCCAACAACAGTGAAAAGCTTCTGTCTTCTGCTAGAAGATATACACTTTGAGCAAAACACAAAACTTTTCTGTACACTCACTCTCTGTCCAGAAGATTGCTCATGTTCACTCAAAAATTTCATCAAATTCACCAATGACCTTTTGTTCCCCCCTAAGGCAATCCAAAGTGGCATCAGCAAAAAGCAGATGAGATACTAAGGTTGTTCTTCTCCCCAAATGATACCCTTTCAGCAAACCATCTAAGAAAATCCTCCTCAAACCCTTACTCAACACCTCTTCTGCTAGGATAAATAGGCAATGAGATATTGGATCCCCTTGCCTCAAATCTCTAGTGGTAGGGAAAAAACCAACCCTTTGCCCATTCACACAAGTAGACACATATTGACTTTCCAAACAGTTAGCAATAATACCCACAAACAATTCTGAAAAGCCAAAACAAGATAGGGTTTTCAGCAAGAAATCCCACTCTAGCCTATCATAGGCTTTCATCATATCTAGCTTCAAAAGCATAATCCCTACCTCAACATTCCTATCCAAGTTCTCTACCATTAACTGTAGCAAAGCCACACAATCACCCTCACTCCTACCCTTCACAAAACCATGCCATTCTTTAGAAACCACCATTGGAAGAATAGGAGCAAGTCTAGAGGCCAAAAGCTTAGTAAACATTTTGTACAAAAAATTGCATAAGCTTATTGACCTAAAATCTGAAAAAGATATAGGATTAGCTAGTAAAGTAGCATTTGCTGACCTGGGTACTTTACCACCTTTTAAGAAAAAGTTGATTGCTCTTACCATGTCCAATTTAATAACCTCCCAAGCCACATGAAAAAACTTCCCAAAGAAACCATCAACCCCAGGTGAACTATGCACAGACATGGAAAAAAACCACACTTTTCACCTCCTCCTCTGTAGCTTTAGCAACCAACTTCCTATTCAATTCCTCATCCACCAGCATAGGAATCTCAGCAAATAAACTCTCCTGCAACACATTATTCTCAGACTTATACAAAGAAGAATAAAAATTCACCGCCACCTCAGCAATCTCCAAATCAGAATGAACCCAATCACTAGATTCATTTTGAATCTTAGAGACTCTATGTCTGACTGCTTTCCTTTTTGCCACAGCCTGTCAAAACTTAGTATTTTTCTCTCCCTCCACAGCCCATCTAACATTAGCCTTTTGTCTCCAATAAACCTCTTCCAATTTCAAAATCTCATCCAACTCATTTTGCACTCTTTCCATAGCCAAAATATTACTCTCAGAATTAACCTCTTCAAGTAATATCGCTGCCTTTTGAACCTCCTCCTCCTTCCTCCTAATCCTCTCAAAAATGTTCCAAAAAATATCCTTATTCCATCTTTTAAGATGAACCTTCAAATACTTCATTTTCAAAAAAATATTTTCAATTGGATTATCTGCATACTCACCACACCATTTAGACATAATCAAGGGCATAAAACCAGGATCCTCAACGCATATATCCTGAAATTTAAAATAACAGACTCTACTAGGAACAGAATCCCTTACTTTAAGCAAAATAGGGGAGTGATTAGAGCCTCCCCTGGCCAAATTCAGTACCTCCATGCTTCCAAACTTCATACACCAGTTAGAACTAAACAGAAGTCTGTCAATTCTCTGCCACATCCTAGTCTGACCATGGTGATTATTGCACCAGGTAAATCTACTACCAATAAACCCCACATCCTGTAGGCCAGGCTCATGCACAAACTCCCCAAACTCCTCCATAGCAATATTTGAAGGATATGTACCCCCAACCTTTCCTCTGAGCTCAAAATAGCATTGAAGTCTCCTCCCACCATCAAACAGAAGACAATACTATATCAAACCCTAAAAGATGCTCCCACAATGGCCTACTTAACACATAATCACAAACATCATAGACCATGGTGATATAGACCACCTTAGACCTCAAATAAGAAGTCCCCACAGTCAAGGCCTGCTCATGCTAGGCCATTATGTTAACTTGTACTCTATCATCCCACAAAACCCACAAGTAACTCTCATCCAAAGGATTACATACATAAAGAGGTAAGCCAATAGACATAGCCAGTCCATGAAGCTTATTTATCCTCATTTTATGTTCCTGAATAGAAACCATACACACATCATTCATTCTAACCAGCATCTTAAGCCTGCTTCGCTTCTCAGCTTTCGTAGCTCCGCTCATATTCCAAGATAAAAAAATTAATCATAGACAAGAAAAGGAACTCCACTTCTGGACCTTAGTCTAATAGAAGCTTCAAAAGAAACCACATTCAAAGCATTAGAATCATAATTCTCTTTTTCCAACTCCTGCATGAGATTTTTGGATCTTTCATATTCAGCACTACCTATATCAGACATATAGCCTTTATCTGGTGGATCAGTCCTCTTTTCCAAAACTATATCATCATCCACAGTCAAATTCAATCCTTTCCTAGTGACATACTAATGTTCCATATAAAAAGAATCAACCACCGCTGGTGTAACCAAAGGAGTCTCAGCAACCTCTCTTGGGACTCCCCTCTCCTGCTCAACTGGACTCTCATTTAGCTGAGCACAAACAAGAGGATTCTCATCATTTTGCAACTCTTCCACACTATTCCTAATATCAACCCCCATATTAGGTACCATCTCTTCAGGAACATTCACCTCATTTAACAGAACAAAAGCACTATTATTCTCAGCTCTCTCTTGTATCAACTCCGTATCACCTCCCACCTCCAAATTTTCATTCGAACACTCTCCCATCTCTACATCCACAATTGGAATTCTATCTTGTTGATCCTCCAACACATCAAATCTATTCCCAACCTCAACCTCCTGAACCCCAATTTTCTGCTTTTAAACCTTCTTTCCTTTATCTTTGTGGACATCAAGCATATCATCCCTCACACAATTCCCCTTTCCAGCATTCAACTTCCCCTTTTCAGTTATCCTACAAGCACTTTGAACTGGACCAGCCTTACCTCCCTCATGTTTTTTCTTTCTAGAAATCACAAAGTCATGCCCCTGCTTCAAATAGTTAGAAGAATACAAAACATTCTTCTCATACACAATCTTCTGCCAACGACCACTCAAGCCTCCCATTTATAGCCAAAACCTTCTAGGGTTATTTGCCAACAGATTGACTCAACACAGGCTCTGGCCATACTAGGGCGAGTCAAATTTAGAGTAGATTTATCAATCACCAGAATGCGACCAACAAGACTCAAGATGTCACTCAAACTTTCCACATTAAAGAGATGGATAGGAAGACTTGGTAAAGACAGCCAAACAGGAACTATCGGTGGTTCCATACCAAGTAAAAACTCTAGGAACCACTTGAAGAACCTAAATAGAAAACCTTCTATATATGTTGTGTCCTTCAACCACGTATGAACATAATCTTCATACAACTCAAACGAATTAATATGTGCCTAGGATCCAAGATTCCAACATAGAACTCACCTTTGGGCTTCCATCTTGTAACAATGAACTCACAGATTACACCCAGAGAAGGCTTACCGTATGCACACTTCCCAATCAGAGTCTGCTGGAACTTACAAGATAGCTCTTGAGTCTCTTCCGATGTCCAATACATGCCAGGTTCACCGTTGTTATATACAACTCTCTTTGGAACATTTATCGCAGCTGGCATAAGATTTACAGAATTCGACACATTCGTCTTAGCAGCAAGAGAACTCCTCATCTTAGATACATCAGATTTGCACACCTTCTCACCACCAGATAAATGAACTTGACCAATTAAAGTAACGTGATCACTCAACGAATGATTTCAAGTCGAAGGGAATCGAACCGAAGAAGGAAATTGAGTAATTGAAGAAAATTTGGTAATCAAAGGGATTTCAAGAATCGAAGATGTTTGAGCAATCGAAGGGATATAAGGAGGCATTAAAAACATTTCCTCACCACCAGAAAGATTCACAGAAGAACTAATTCCATTAACGGATCCAGAACCAGTTGTCGCAATGTTCAAAGGTTTCTTGAATAAAGATGCAAAATTTTGCATACTATCTGGAGGTTTTGGCCGAATTTGTTTGTGAATTGATTAGAATTCATGATTAATCAACAAAATCCAATAGGAAATCTTAGAAATCAGAAGAAAATCAAAGCAAAAATGAAGATTATCAAAGAAAGTTTCTAGAGAGAAGTTAGAGCTTCTCTTTCTAAAACAGAAATAACTCCCTCCCCTATGCATTGCACGTAAGAAATTTAAATAATATTATTTTTTTTAGAAAACGTGAATTATATGTGTAATTGAATTAAATAATAAATTAGGTTTTGAATAATTAATCCGTATTTTAATTATTACTAAATTTAATTATTAATTTATTCTATAAGTTTTTGAACAACTATTCTGTCTTTTATTTTGGTATCTCGTAAACCTCTTTAAGCATTTGCACACCTAATTATATTATAAAATTATTAATGTTTATTTTGTTAAATAGATTGATTAGATCACTTATAATATTATTATATTATTGTATACCAAAAAATAAAATATAACATATATAGAACTTTACTTCTTCGTATAAATATAGATAATTGTATATAATTATACTAGTAATCTATACTACTTCTAAAGGTCAACAAATGAAAAACTTTTGTTCGACCAAAATAACCTTAACAAAACAGCTAATGTCAATCATACCTTTTAATAGTTAATGAAATTATTACACTTTAAATACCCTTAAATAATTTATAAAGTAAAAAATATACATATGCCAGATTTATATATATATATAATATATATATATATATATTATATATATATATATATATATATATTTTGCTAAATTCCATATTTGTGTTGATATAATAGTTATTATGATATTACATTAAATATCAAATTAAGAGAAATAAATTTGAAAAAATGGGTATTTATCTTCCCTAAAAAATTTCTCACTCCAAATAAACTTCTTCCTCACTCTTTTTCCCCAGACCCTCTTTCTCTCTCTGCTATCAACATTCAGATCTCCCTCTTCTGCACCCTCACCATCTATCGCCCTTACTCCTTGTGACTCTAAGCATTCTGCATCTTAAAGTCTGGAGTTACAATGCCTATATCAACAATCAATTTGAACCTCAACAATTGCCATACTCCTAATTGGAATTTAATTCAGTCTAGGCATTTCATCACACTTCACTCTCTCCGTATGAAGCAAACACTCTGTGTGTCTATCTATTCGCAGCCATGTATTTTTTGGTATGCTCTTCCACTTATATCTGTTAATTAGTTTGTTTTCCTGTGCAAATACATCTCAGATTTTATCGGCACAACTCTGTCTCTCGGCCATTTATGCAATAGAATTTGGGTTTTCATATTCAATTTTAAACATTCTATTTGCAGCATAGAGACAATACAAGATATTGCTCGCCAAACTCACTCCATCAACCGGCCAAAGAGCAAGAAGTCAACAACCATGGATGATATGTGAAGCCTCATAATCCCCTTTCCTAGCAGGTTGGCATGATATTACTTAAGATTGGCTCAATTCTTCTCAAACACCAACATATGTGTGCACATAGTTATATTTAGGTTAATTGCATTATAGGTCCTCAAAGTATGAGATTTGTCTCATTTTGGTCCCCAATGTTTCAATTGCATAATTTTAATCCCTAAAATATTGAATATGTTTCTATATGGTCCTTCAAGCAGACAACACCCAGATTGCTAACGATTTTTTATTATAAACTTGTCATGTAATAGCTAAATATGGACAAAAAATAATTTTGATAGCTCTTGAACAAAATTTGGCTAGCTCTTGACAAAAAAATGTGTAATATGGGTAGCTTTTGACCAAAATTTGGATAGCTTATGATCAAAATTGTGTAATTTAAGTAGGTATTTGATTAAAATTTGAGTAGAAATTTGTTCAAGACTTATCCAAATTATTTTTTAGTCCACCTTTAAGTATCATGTGCCAAGTTTGTGATACAAAATCATTAGCAATTTGGACACTGTCTGCTTAAGGGATTATATAGAAGCATATTTAATACTTCAGGGATCAAAATGATGCAATTGAAATATTAGAGACCAAAATGAGATAAACTCCATAGTTTGGGGACCTCCAGTGCAATTAACCCTTATATTTATATATGCTATACTGATTTATGTGAATTTTCTTGGTCTTGATTTTCTTATTCGAAATTTAAGCGACCGAGGTGAATTAAGTTCTCTGGTATCGAAAGCAATGTAGTTAAAAAGGAAGCATCACCAATTGTTCCAGTCATTTTTATGCAAAGTGAATCCAAGCTTTTGATCTATTTTTGAAATCTACCCATCATAGCTATATATTTAATTGCAAATTTGAATTCACATGAAAAAATAATTGTTTAAACCAAGCTTCCCCACTGTTTTGACCATATTTATGGGAGAGTTTAATCTACCGAAAGTGGAGGCAGTGAAAATTTGCTTGTAATGGTGACGCACTATTATGGCTCAGCATAAAGTATATCTAATTTCCTCTCTACCTCTCTTCTTTTGTTGATAACATTGTACAGAAGCACGTAAGGACATACCACCTAACGTGTTATTGGTGCAATACAGGGTATGCGTTTTTTTTTTTTTTTTGGTTTTGGTTCTTATGAAGTGGGAATTAAAACATACAGTTTATATGAACTGCATTTTTTTTCTATTCATCATCCGTTTATATTTGTAGTTGAGTCATTAATGTAATTGTGTTCTTTATCATTTTGTTCTCTTAACCGAACTAAATAAGATTCTTTAATTAGGCTTAGTCTATGGGAGATAAATTGTATTTCGTAGGTTTATATGTTATATAGATCCAATTTAAAAAAGCAGTGGGCCAAAAAATAGTTATAGAGATTTATGTCTCTGTTAGTTTAGCACATGATTTATAGATGTATGACACACGTATGAAATGAACAGTTTTGTTAGTTTTGGAATTGAAAATGTTTCTAGCAAGAACTCATACTGTAGTCTACTTTTTTTTTTGATTGTTAGATAAATATATGTTAATACTTGATGGATGATGCTTGTAAGAATTAACTATAATGCTAAGCATTTCTTTATTAGGCCAATTGTTGTGGGCACTTGCTTTCTACTTTGAATTCACTTTTCATGAGATTTATTTGGGTTTCTTGCGGTTTGTTCTTGGAGATTTGGTTCAATTATTTTGTGAGGTATTTTCCTCTTGTGATTTACACCTTGGTGTGTTTGTAAGACTTATGTCTTTTGGCCACTTTGTAATCTGATTTGGTGATAGTGGAAGAAACTGACCTACCGGTCGTCGTGGATGTACCTCAAGTTATTTGAGGGAACCACGTAAATCTTGTGTGCTTATTTATTTTCTGTTATTTTATTTATATTGCTTCCATTGATTTACACTTGTAGAAAAGCCTATTTTCCCAACATCATGTGCTTACTGTCAAGCTTCACGCAGACAATTATCCCATTTGGCAGAATTAAGAGATTCCACAGACCACAGCTTCGCGGAAACTCCGTCCTTGACTTTATTGATGGGACTATTCGTTGTCCTCTCAATACCTCTCCTCCGGCTCCGATGTCATGCCTAATGTCAACCTCGAATATGATCCTTGGCTGGTTACTATCTTCTCTATCCGAAGACGTGCGTGCTCAAGTACTTGGTCTCCCAACCTCTCGAGTTGTATGGACTGCTTTTGAGACCTCCTTCGCCTCTCATTCGAAGGCTCGCATTTTACAACTCTGAATGGAGTTACAATGCCTTAAAAAACTTCCTGACTCGATTACCAAATACTTCCAT